GCATAGGATCCATGAGACCTCATCTCAAAAATAAAATTTACTAGAAGCCAGTAAATTATGAGAACTGTTTCTAATATGAGGATAATATTAAGTCTTTGTTTTCCTATGTAGTCCTCAATGGCCTGGAATTCACTATGTAGACCAGGATGGCCTGAGAACATACAGTGACCCTCCTGCCTCTGTCTCAAGTGCTCAGAGTAGAGGCTACCATATCCCCGGCACTGTTAATATTTGTTAACCAGTGTGCTGCAATAATCATAACCTGCTTCACCACCTAGCTCAGGAAATGAAACCTTGGGCCAGCAAGATGCCTCAGTAGGTAAAGATACCTACAGCCAATACTGACGACCTGAGTTTGATTCTCAGGACCCACATGGACGAGAACAAGCACCCAAAAGTTGTCTTCTGGCATCCACACAGGGGCTATGGCATTCATGTCTCCTGCCCCCATATACACAAACTAATTAATTCATTAAAATTTTTTTAAAAATCAAATCTTTCTTCAGCACACCAGAAAAAAAAATAGCCCTTTCCATATACTTTTCACTGTTAAAATCCCACTTCCAGTTGTTTTTGCTTGTAGCTGAAACGCAAATGACTCAGTCATTACCCTTAATTCCTACCTTAAAGATAACCTTGGGTTTCCATTTCTCCCAAATCAGCCTATCATTGTGATTTTTCTTCAGAACATACACACACACACACACACACACACACACACACACACACGCCCCTTGTCTTTTACCAAAACAGTCCAGTAACACAATGAGAGGGGCAGATTATAATTTAATCATTATTGATATACTTCTTTTTCTCCTCACCCCTAAATCAAAAGCTAAAAGATCATAAAGTAAAAGTATTCAGTTATAAGGCTACCAATATATAAATCTATAATTCCATTACTAAGACAAATATTTTCTTTTGTCAAGAACCCATTTTCATTATCAAGTCTGGCAGCATCTATATGGTAGATTTCTAAGTTCCTAGAGCAAAGCAAGTGAAGGAACATTTAGGGTTGGTTCACTTATAAACATTAGCTGATATGCCAAATACCATTCATTAATTACTAAACAGCAAGCTGGGGGGTGGGGGTGTAGCTCAGTGGAAGAGCACTTGTTTAGCATGCACCAGGCCCAGGGTTCCAATACCCAGCACTGAAAGCATATACATGTATGCACCATCCTAGAATCAGAATAGACATCCACCATAAGGTTTTAATGTGGTCAGATATGGTGGTACACACCTTTAATCCCAGCAGGCAGATCTCTGTAAGATACAGGCCAGCTGAGGCCAGCCTGGTCTACATAGAGAATTACAGGCCAGTTGGAGCTACAGGGAGACCCTGTCTCAAGATACAAAACAAAACGGTGGTACAAATCTATAATTCCAGCACTTTGGAGACAAGAGGATCATGAGTTCAAGGCCACCTGGGCTACATCAAAAAACAGGAAATTCTAAGAACTGAATTTTTTCCTCTTTCCCAAACTTCTCTCATTTATTTTACAATAGTAACAAGCTTCACTATAGACAAGAAGCAGCTGACCCAGTAGCTCGATATGGTAGCTTCATGCCTAGGACCTCAGCACAGCTTGTGCTATCTGGTGGGATTCTGTCCCAAAAACCCAGGAAGGACAAGAAACTGCTTAAGTCAAATTGACTAACAGCCAATTGCCCTTGTGATATTCCCTAATATCATCTCCTCTCAACTTAAGCAATTTTCACAAACACTTTCACAAAAGTTTCCCCCAAACTCTGGGATGCTGTATTAGACAGTCTAGAACGCAACAGTCTAGAATGCAAATATAACAGGCCAGAGACTGGCATTCTTTTTTATTATTTATTTTTATCTTATGTGTATGAGTGTTTTGCCTACATATATATAAGCATACCATGCCTTGCAATGCCTGAGGTTAGACAAGGGCATCGAATCCCCTGCAACTGGAGTTAAAGATGGTTCAGAGCCTCCACGTCGGTGCTGGGAACTGAACCCAGGTCCTCTGCAAGAGCAGTCAGTGCTCTTAACCACTGAGCCATCTCTCTAGTCCCTGATACTGGCAGCATCCTTGATGCCACAAAAATATGTAAACTTCTGGGTTTGAGTTTGATGAGGTTGGTAAACTAGAGTCCTCAAAAGAAAGGATGATTTATTTAACAGCCTACTTAAGAATGATTGACCGTCCACATAGCCCAAGGTAGCACACATCTGTAATCTCAGAGCTTGGAAGGCAGAGGCAAGAAGACTGCTGCTAATACAAGGCCAGTAGTCAACGTAGTGAGTTTCAGGCCAGCCAGAATGACATCACAATGAGACCTTGTCTGAAAAGTTAGAAAAAAAAGAATTACTATCCTTGCCATTTATTAGCCATT